TACAATTGATACTCGATTTGTAGTGCTACAAATATGTATATGTATATATATTTATTAGTGGTTCCTTGCGATTTCGTTAATTTCGAGCTAGATGGCTGGGTTAGTTTACCGTACTCGGCTTTCCCTTCACACAGTCTGAATATCGAAAGGCCAGTCCATCTTAGTTGGTTTATAGTTTGCCGACTTTTTTTTCCTTAATGCGAATATACCAGGCAGTTTGGAAATTTAAGTTTCGGGCTTACTTTCCAAGCATTTGCTGGAAAAACAGGAGCTTTGACGGCCATGCCTGTACAGAGCAGAAAGATTGGTTCGAGTTGTGCACTGGGTTTATTTATTGGATTTCAGGATTACATTATATCATGTGTCAAAAGGGTGTCAGGCTTGCATTTTGTGCACTGCATCCGTCCACTCTCTGTTGCTGGTGCGCATATGCATCCGGATGAACTTCTTGACCTACATTACGTTCGAAATCAGTTGTGCTCCATCTCACTTGTCAATTCAGCTCGTGCTCTAAACCAAGGTGTGCATTTGCTGAATGTACTTATTGAGTGAATGTGCCACTGACTGAGAAAAGCATTTAGCTTTTTCAGTCGGCGTCTTTACAGTCGGTGTCCCTTATTATGCGTTTTGTGTTATGTAACAGCAGTACAAAACGCATATTGTCACGAGGTTGTTTGTGCGTGTGTGCGTCCCACATTGTGTACCGCACTTTCAACTCGGGAATCACAAAAGCTGGGCGGCTGAAATTTTAGTACAGTGTTCCCCGCCAACATGTGACGCGGTAAATTTAAATTCAACCTTCCCGTATCCGCGGGTAACACGTACAGCCCGTAAAAGTTTTGCCAGGTAAAATCAGTATCTCTGGGACCTTATAAACTAAGGAGCTGGAATTTTACAGGTATGTCCCCTGACAGCGTGCGACCCAGAAAACTCAAATCCAATCCTCCTGTACCCGCGGGTAGCAAGTGCGGCCCCGTGAAAGTTTTGGCGGGTAAAGTCATTATCTCGAGAATCACGGAAGCTAGGGAACTGAAATTTTATGGGCTATGCCCCCTGCCCATGTAGGACCCAGAAAATTCAAATTCAGCCTCCCCTTGCTCGCGGGTAGTACATACGGCCTCGTAAGTTTTGGCGAGATTTATTATCTCGGGGATTACGAAAGTTGGGAAACTGAAGTTTTGTGGATATATCCTCTGCCCACGTACTACTAATTCAATCTTCCTGTACCCCCGGGTAGCAAGTACGGGTAAAATCATAACGTAAAAGTTTTGGCGGGTAAAATCATTATCTCAGGAACAGCGGAGGCTAGGAAGCTGAAATTTTATGGGTATGTCCCTTGAACACGTGCAACCCAGAAAATTTAAATTCATTTTTTTCCGTGCGCTTGGGTATTGCGTGCGGCTCCGCGAAAGTTTTGGCGGAAAATTATCTCGGGAACTATGAAAGCTAAGAAGCTGAAATTTCAGGACGATATTTTCTGCCGCTGCAGTTATTTCACAAACTCAAATTTAGCTCCCAAGTATGCAGAGGTCTTACGTAAGACCACGTGAGAATCTTAATGTGAAAATCACTAGCTAGGATTTCAGTAGGAAATTCCTCACCTTAGGCGCCAGACAGCATATCTACTATTTTTCTTATACGAAAGTGTAAAACAGTTATATTTTCAATAAGCAAACGTCCGTTGGACGGAACTGCGCAAAACGCATGATCGCACCGGCTACCCTGTTGCGCTTCGCTGTTTATTGTAGAGTGCAACTGCCCTGGCTATCTCACTCTTTCTTTGTCCATGAGTCAGTTTCCGCCTTGCTCATGATTTTTACCAAAATCTTGCAACAATTTCAAAGGACAAAAGTCCAAACGCGTAGTCGCATTGAATGACGATGTTGCCCGCATTTTTGAAAGAATTACGTCGATGAGAAGCAGCGGTGTGACCAATGAGCGAATTCGATATGCACATACAACTGTCGAGGGGAAAACTCAGCAATCGCTGTATGCGATAAAACATTAATGGGGCTTCGCTGTGCATGAAACACTGAATAATAGGACCCGAAAATGACAAGATGATTCTGAGCAAGGGAGGAAAAGGCATTGTTGTGCTTCTCCAGCATGGATATCACTCCATGGCATTGGCGTTTGCTGTGTTGGGGGAAAGGTGCTGCCTTGGATATGATACAAAAGACCCAAAGAGACTGACGAAATGGTGCTGTGGCTGGTCCAGAAGCCAGCCAAGCTATAATAACAAAAATAAATTGGGCTGGGGATAAATTGAAAATACGTCACAGATTGAAGTGAAGAAACCAATACACCTATGTTAGGGAGATTTGTAAAAGAGAAAGTAGGGTGTTGAAAAACGAGGCATGGTGATCGGGAAAGAAAGCAAAAAAGATAACATGTTGGGCCAGGGTCCGAAATGAACACAGAGGTTGCTGCCAACATGTTGGAAGTAGCTGTCAAGTTTGGGTCTTCTGGTTTGTCCTGTTTACAGTGTCGTACTACTGAAAAACGATCAGTGGGGGTGAACAAAAAAACAAAGCGGACGTGTAGGTGACTGGAAAAGCGATAAATTAGGAGGCATAACAGTCAAATTTAGCGAACATTTAAATTTAGAGGGATAAAAGTTGTATTGGGTTTGTTCAGCTTATCCTTAATAAAATACGTAATTTTACAGTGATTAGCGCGACTTCTCGTAAGTTCGTAGATAGCATTACGCGCCTGGAAAAATGCTGTTTTGATAGAAATGAAATAATTTTAAAGCACTGGTTACTTGAATCAGTTTTATAGTTGAAGTAACTGAACTGGCTTAT